CCAGTGTGGGGCTTTGCAGCATGGATGAGGGGCCACCATAACTGTGTCCTGAGCAGATAGTTTCCTGTTCTCTTCCAGCAGCTTTTCATCCCCAACCAAGGCAGAGGACTCTTTGGCTCCACCCCTATCACCATCTGTCCCATCCATTCCACCAGCATCTAGATCAGGAAACAATCTAACACCTCACTTTAGTCAGGGGAATCTGAGTCTGTTCCCTTGATGCGATGTGAAGATGGGGACGCAGGAGTTCTCAGAGCGTGTGTGCTTTGCTCAGTGACAGCCATGCCTCAGTGTAAACAAAGATTTCACAGTGTTTCTCACCAGTTTAGTATCCTCACTGATGTAGGAGTGAATTCAATAAGTTGAGCAAAGCTTCTGTCTGACTTTGAGGGATAAGACTGCAATGTTTTCTCATTGTTGCACTACAGATGAAAAAGATCATGTTATTCAAAATGCTGTGGAAGTGTATCAGTAACACAAGCAGTGACACTCCAGACCACTACGTTCAGAGGCCATGGGGGACACAGTGTGTCATAGAGACCCTAAATATACCCTGAATTTTCTGTCTATGAGGGGAGAATGCAGAATGTAACCTGTATTTCAGAAGGCATAGGAATGTGTGATTTATGGCAGGTGAAAGGAGATAACACGAGAAATACGGAGAATCCTGCTGTAATTTTAAATCTCTTCTCTGAGACCTTCTGAAAGTTCAGTGGATCCTTCACTAGTGAGCTCATTTCATTTGCAAGGGCTGGTTGTAACTCAAGTTGATCAGCTGAAGGTTCAAGCTCCTCTACACAGCCTTCAACATCTCTTCTGTATCCAGGCATATATCAGTATCTTTTGAGAGGCATTGACCCACGATTTCTCTGTGGGAGACCAGATGAAAAATATGAGACCTCCTTCTGAACACTGAGAAGAAAGCGGGAGTGGAAGCATGGGAACACACTGCAGGGAACAGTAAAAGTGCCTGAGGTTTAGTTGTTTACCCAGAGAACTATCAGGTAAGGAGGGAGAGAGAGGAATTCTGTAAAATCCTAATTGCTCAAACTGTGTCTGAGTGAATAAAGCTAATATGGAAAAGTCACTTGGAGTGCTATGTCAAGGGGAGATATGAACCCTCTGGCCCTTCAGATTTCAACTTGTTTCTGGCTCTTTATTTTTTATCCTCCTCACCCTTTGGTCAGGTTTGAGCTCCTAGTCTGGTCCTACATTTCTCAAGTAATACCAGACAGGAAAGGATGGTGTAATGTTCCTTTCAGAACTCTTTCAGGGTTAAATCTTTATTTGAGACCATCTGGAAGGACAAGCGGCTGGCATTCAGGTCTAACACATATCTTTCTTAATAAGGTAAAATTAAAGTTCCAGTTGTAACCCAGATGGTTCATATGTCAGGCCAGTCATAAATGGAGGGTCCACTTCAGGAATGCTGACCCAAGTTTAACAGAAGGGAGAGACTGAGTTATGCACTGTATAAAGTGGTCTTCTCCAAATATTAGGAAGAAGTTAGGAAAGCTACATGCAGAAACAGAAACCCCACTTTGAACCTAGGTAAAGGAGATCTTCAAAGAATATAACAACTGGACCCTGGCTGAGGAGTCAAAGAAGGATAAGAGATTGGAGAAAATAGACTCTAATTCTGATGCCAGTTCACGGCATCTCTCAAGGACTCCAAAATCATTCCTTGGAAGGAATCCAATCATTCCATAAGGGTTCCATTGAATACAAGAAATAAAGATACTTAAAATAAGCAATATTGAAGTATCAACCCAGGAATTAAACCAAGGACTATAGCAATAATCAAAAAAGAAATGAAAATACAGTTAAGCAAGACACAAACCCAGTCTTCCAGCTTACCAAAGGCAAATTCTGGGGGAAATGAGGTGGAAAAGTTTGATAATAAAATACCTGGACACCCTGCGTTGACAGCACAAGAAATAAAAAAGAGATGAATGAGGCTCTAGAAAAATTCAAAACAGAAATAATTTACCTGATAACCACAGAGATGGTGAGAAGAATTAAACATGTGATTACAGTCTATAGAAGAGAAACAGATTTTTAAAAATAGGTGATTTCAGGACCATGATGGAAGCCACGAATGCTTAGCATAGGAAAGAAATGAAAATCATGAAATAGATTCAAACTGTTATCCAGGAAATTAAAAACTCTATTGAAAGGATACACAGCAGACAGCCAACCTGAAGACAGAATATCAGATATAGAGACAGGATGGTAGTCAGTGACCATGAAAAAAGAGATCTCTTAAAAATATCAAGGGGCTATAAAAAAATCAATCCAGCAGCTCCTAGATGATGCAAAGAAGAATAATATAAGATTAGTAGGAGGACAAGAAAAAGCAGGAGAAAATACAAATGACATAAAAAATGTTCACAGAATTTACAAACAGAGCAAATGAACTAGACATACAGATAAGTGAGGCATATAGATCTCCAACTAGTCATGATAAAAAAATCTACACCTAGACATACAATAATCAAGATCCCAGAAACCTAACAGAAGAACAAAGCACTACAAGCAGTTAGAGAAAAGAAACAAATCACATGCCAAGGAAAGCCCATCAGAATCACAGCAGACTTTTAACAAAATTCTCAAGTCAAGGAGAGTCTGTAGTGAGGTATTTCAATCCTTAAAAGAAAACAACCTCCAACCTAGACTGATATACCCTGCAAATCTGTCTTTCAAAATTGATGGAGAAATAAGATACTTCCACCATAATGAACACCTGAGAAACTTCATGAATACCAAACCAGCAGTCCAAACAATTTTTTAAAATATTCTATATAAAGACACTGAAGAACACAACTCCATGAGGCACAACAGAACAAATCCAAAATACTTCATCAGGCAAGGCAAGAAATTAAAGGAGAAGGGGTAAAATAAAAAAGCCAACAACAGGAAAAATACTTGATGATAATCAGTTATATATCAATGTTAACATATCACTGTTAACAGCCTTAATTCACCACTCAAAAGAAAGAGATTTGCAGAATGAATTAAGAAGGAAAATCCAACTGTATGCTGTAAACAAGAAATACTCATAATTCAAGATGAAGCTCATAGACTGAAAGTAAAAGGTTAGAAAACAGTTCACTATGTGAAAGAAGCCAGAAAAAGGCATTGGTAGCTATCCTATTTGCAGACAAAGTAAATTTCACACCAAAATTAATTAAGAGGGACAAAGATGTCACTACTTGCTTGTAAAGAGAACAATACAAGAGGCAGAGATGACAAGAATAAATAAATAAGCAACAAATACTACTGCCCCCAACTATACAAAACAAACATTAAGGGACATGAAAAACCTCGTAAGAACTAATACAGTTGTAGTGGGGGCCTCAATACCCCTTTGTTACAAATAGACAGATCATGTAGATTAAAAACCAACAATGAAATACTAGAACTGAACCAAGCTTTTTAACAAATGAACTTAGTAGATGTCTACAGAGTGTTCCACCCCACACAATCAGAATATGCATTCTTTCCAGCTGCACATGGTTCATTCTCCAAAATAGACCACATACTAGCTCATAGAACATGTGTAAGTATGTGCAAAGGAATTAAAGTTTTCCCACATATGTTATCAGAACATAGTGCAATTAAACTGGAGATCAATAGCATAAGAACCCCAGAGCCATACTCTTAAGTGAAATTAATAAGACACACAGGTGTAAACATTGAATCACTTCTCTGGTGTGAAAAACTAAAACTGCAAATCAGGATCAAAATGTATAATTAATATTGTGTAATAGGAAGAAAAGTTCTAAAGAACTGGGGAAGTGGGAAATGTAAGCCAAGGGTAAGAAGGCATAAGAAAAAAATATGAGAAAAGGAAAAGTATGGAAATGAAGTATCCGTAAATAGGGAAGGGTGCAGGGGGTGAAGAGAGGGCAGGGGAATGGGGGAAAACAATAACCAAGTTACATCATGTAAAGGAACAAGATCCCAGTGATGAATGTAACTGTATTGTATAACTAAAAAGTACCAATAAAGTTAATGGAAACACACAGACACACACAGACACACACAGACACACACACACACACACACACACACACTACATTGAGGTAAACCTATGTAATGAGATAAAAGATCTCCACAGTGACAGTAATGCATCAATAAAGAAAGAAATTTAAGATAACACTAGGACATGGAAAGACCACCTATGTGATCTGATTGAGAGACTACTATTGTTAGAATGGCCATGCCACCAAAAGTGATACCAATGACATCCTTCAAAGAACAACAGCAAAAAACACCTTAAAATCCATATAGAAGATTTCCTATGAAGACAGTGAGAAGAGAAAGCAATCTTGAGAAAGAGGAGCAATGCTTGAGGCACCACAGCATCTTATTTCAATGTATCCTACAGTGACTTTGCTTATTTTTCAATTTCTATTTCCTATTAGTACATGTTTACATAATGACTGCATTCCATATGGGGAGTTGGTACCTGAACATCCGACACACAAAATAATTAATTTTTATCACTTTCCCTTTCTGTTCACCAAACAGGGTAGTATTTAACGGATAAAAATAGATGAACTGTGAATGAGCCCCTGTATCTACAGTCATGCGGTCCCTCAACAAAGTAGCTAAAACAAATTGTACAAAACAGCCTCTTTCAACAAAAAGTGCCAAGAAACCGAACATAGCATTTAGAAGAATCAAAGTAGATCACCGTGCCTCATCCTGTTCAAAACTCAACTCCAAATTGAACAAAGACTTTCACATAGGACTTGAAAGTCTGAGAGTGATATGGCAAACACTTCATGATACAGGTACAGGCATTGATTTCCTGGATATAATACCTCGGGATATAGTATCTCTGTGTGTTACAACAGAGATGAGAGAACTGTGGCATGCAAAGTCACCTAAGTGTTGGCCTTGAGAAATGGGAATTCTTCTTCAGAACTCACAGATAATAATTTGGAAAAGCAGAAACAATGTGCCAGTATTCTGTAGTGTATGCATGTGATTGATCAAGAGACAGGCAGAGATCTTCTGGCTTTTAAAATATTCACCCTGCCCTGGGATTGCAGGATCCTCTTCCATGCTGTCTGCACATCCTTGTTTCTCAGGGTGTAGATGAGTGGGTTGAGCAGTGGGGTGATAACACAATAGAAGAAAGACGTGAACTTGGCCTGAGAACTCATGGAAGAAAGCTGCAGGTACAAGTACATTCCTGGCCCAAAGAACAGGGTGACAACCAGCAAGTGGGAACTGCAGGTGCTGAGGGCCTTACGCCTTCCTTCAGCTGAGGGTAACTTCAGTACAGCCCTGGCGATGAAAGTGTAGGAGATGACCACCAGGAGAACAGGCACCATTCCAAATGGGATTGACAACAATGTGAGGGCCAGCTTATTAGCAGAGGTGTCCCCGCAGGCCAGCTTGATGAGCACAGGTAGCTCACAGAAGAAGTGGTCCAGTGTGTGGTGACCACAGAGAGAAACCTGGAGGGTGAGTGTGGCCTGGAGCAGAGCATTGGCCAGGCCACTGGACCAGCATACAGCTGCCATCTGCACACAGACCCAGGGACGCATGATGAGAGTGTAGCGGAGGGGCTGGCAGATGGCCACATAGCGATCAATGGCCATCATGGCCAGCAAGGCGCATTCAGTGCAGCTAGTGCAGCTGAAAATACTGACCTGTGTGATGCAGCCCCAGGCAGCAATGGTCTTTTCTGGTCCCCAGAGGTTAGCCAGCAGCTGGGGCACAATGGTGCAGGTCACACTGAGGTCCAGCAGAGAGAGGTTGTCCAGGAAGAAGTACATGGGTGTCTGGAGTCTGGGGTCCACCAGGGAGAGGAGGATGATGGAGCTGTTCCCCAGCAGGGTGAGGAGGTAGGAGACCAGGACCACTGCAGAGAGGGGCCTCTCCAGCCAGGGAAACTCTGAGAAGCCCAGCAGGATGAAAGTGTTGGGAAAGCTCACATTTCGCCTTTCCATGGCACCTCACACTGAGGCTACAAAGAAAGGGATAGATTTGAGGATAAATATAATTTTTCCCTTTCTTTTTTCCCTCTTTCTTTGTTAGTGTGTATTTGTGAAACATACAAGCAAAGACAGTGGACCATGCACAAGAGACAGCAGAGCAGGACCAGACCCAGACAGAGTCACCTCAGGCCAAGGCCTAGCCCTTCCCACTGCCTCCTAAGGGTGCACCAATCTGCAGGAGGCAGAGCTGCAGGGACAGCACCTCCAGGCTGTGCAGGGTGAGAGCAGAGTCTGCACTAGGATTCTGCTTTACATGCAATGGCCTCTAACATGACAGGTACACCGGGTGCTGGAATGCAATCTGTGAAAATTTCTGAAAGTTTTCTTTGATCCCACACTTAAGACAAATAGAATTAAGGGAAATTATGAAGAAATCTGTGCATGAGCTATATTTTGTAGAAATGCATTGCAGATTTTGAAAATTCTAATGAAGTCATGCCTATATTTTTTGAGTTCTGCATGTTTCTTTGTTTAGACAACATTTTAACATTCAGATTTTTATTCTATTTTTATAATTTTTAAAAAAAAATTAAAAAGAAAAAGCAAAAATTCCTAGTAAAACAAGAGAGCACCAATAAGCCCAGGCTGTCTGTTCAGGGCGGTGCACACAGGGAGCTGAGGGGGAGCCTGGGGGTTGCTACCCAGCAGCTCCAAGGGGTCAGGAGCTGTAAGCCCAGAGTGAGGTGGACCTCGCGCTGTTACATGAGTGCTTTGGGAGGAGGGTGAAATGCACTGCAGGCATTTTCAGTATGAAAGTGCATGGTAACCTAACAAGGTCCGTGTTACATATTTTCCAATGTATTTTCTTAAACACAAATGCACGTGTGCTCACACGTATATCACGTAAAACAGTTTTCTGAAATTTATATGTACATGGTGCAGTGGCAAAATTGAGCTAATTTTAATACACATTACTCACACTGTAGTCTTTTTTGATTTGTAGAATTTCACATGAATCCAAATAGAACTCATGAGCTTCTGAGCTCTCTCTCCATTAGTGTCCTTTGTCCTCCATCTCTCACCCCGTCCTCCACAGCAGCCCACTCTGGTCACCACCATTCTCATCTATACTTCAAAAACACCTACCTGTCTAGACTCCAGATTCAAGTGAGACCCTCCAGCAGACATCTCTGCCCCGTAGAAGCCGGCTATGAGTGACACAGGCTATTTCCCCTCCACGGTTCAGCTGTACTACATTACAAGTAGCAGGGCCTTGCTGAGCTCAGTTCCAGCCAAGGCTAACTCGAGCCCAACTAATACTTCCCCTCCGGACGAACCGTTTGTTCTCTTCAGTAGAGATATGCTGGTGCCCTGCCTGCAACACCCAGTGGCAGTGAGTGTCCCAGGCCTGCCCACCCCTCCTTCCCACTCCTGTATGAACACACACTGCACGTCCTCGGTGCCCTCTGTCCGTGCTGCCCAGAGCAGCTTAGCTCAGCCCGAGACCCCACTTCCCTCAGGTCTCTGTCCCTGTGTCCTTTCCTCCCCCTCTCCTATCTCACGAATGTTCTTCTGTCTCCTAGGAGCCCGAGACCCACAGCGGGTGTTTTCAGTAACTCCGTTTGTAAGACCATGAGTGGTTGTCGCTCCCTCCGCGTTGGCAGAATGTCCAACGGAGAAAAGACAAAGAACAAACGTGGGCAGGGTGGTGGGGGAGCCCAGGCACACGTTGGCGGGGTGCACATCAGTGCAGCCCCTGAGGAAAACAACATGAATTAAACTGCAATGACCTACGTGGGCTCAGTCACTCCCACACTGGAGAACAGGACCACGGACACGAGGGCAGTGCGCTGAAGAATTACCTGCGGTCCTTTGCAGCTTGACTAAGAGAGTCAGGTGGAGAACTGACCCGAGTGTGTGTCAGTAGAATGGATGAAGACACTGTGGTCGGTTCAGGCATGAGAGCACGCAGGTGTGAAGAGGAAACTCTGTCAGTCATGTCAGGGGATGAACTGAGAGTCACTATGTTCAGGTGAAAAAGCAGCACCGAAAGACAAATTTTTTTTGAACAGAAGGTTCTCTGTGCAAAGACACACTTGTACAAATTTGGGTTGCTTGAGTCACACATGTTTGGGAATAGTACAAAACTACTCTTTACGGGGCCAGGGATTTGGCTCAAGGGTTTGGCCACCTGCCTTGAAGTGCAAAGGCCCGAGTTTGATTCCTGGCACCCAAACAAACATACAAAGAAACAAAAACTACCCTTTATGAAATTCAGGGTGGGAAATTTGACTGGATCCCCTCCTTGCCCAATGTCCGGTTTGACACTGGGTGACCCCACTTCCTGAGGTGGCCTAACCCATCCCACTCCTCCCTCAAATCTGCAGAGAGATCCTGAGAAACTGTGGTCCTCATCTCAGCCAGGAGGTGCCCTGCAGACCCGTATTTCATAGCCGGACCCCGCTGATGTGAACGTCTTGTCCTGTCTGAGCTTCCTGTCCCCTCCTGGCTACTGCCCCCCTGACCCCTGTGGGGAGCACTCCCTTCAGCCTGGCCCTGGGAACTGGCTCCCCTCTGCCTCCAGCACTGAGCTCCGGGGGTCCCCTGTTCCCGCTGCAGCCTCAGCACATCTGTCCTCCGCAGGGTCACGGCCTCCCCGCCCTGTCTCTCGGAGTGTTGCAGTGAATTCTGATCCTGCTCTCATCCCTCCCTGACCTCACCTTCTTCCTGTGAGGGCACTTGAGTTAACAAATGTTGAAGTATTTAAATATGTAGGTAGGGCTGAGGCTGCGGTTGAGTAGTACAGCATTTCCCCAGGACGAGAGGGGCTCTGTGATCGTTCTTCACACTTCAAATGAAGTAACCCACATGAAGAAGTGGAATTAAATGAGCAGAGCCTCATTATTGCATTCCTGTGTTTCACTCTTCCTACCGACGTGGCCCTGTGCACTTACTCCACACATGTATGTGATGCACAGGACAAACTAGGATGGTCAGCATGTCCAGGTTATGAGTCTGTTTGCTTAGAAGTCGGTTTGCCTGCCAGAACCACTTCACACTTGCACCAATAAACAAAGAGATGCTGGGTTACTCACAGTGGAGAGGGCTCTCTCCTTCCACACCCTCACCCAAGTGAGCTCCTTCTCCCACTGTCACAGGTGGAAACTCTAACCCTGGCCATTCCCATCCACACCCTCACAGCTCCTCACACTCAGAGCTGCCTGGGTCACTGGCAGATTTTTCTTTCACTTGTCTGGCAGACTTTTCATGCCTTCTTGTAGATTCTACCCAAAGCGCTGGTTGAACTTTAGTCTTTTTAAGTGACTTGTTTTTAACTCAGAAAGTAATCACAGTACAGCAGAGGTTTTTCTTAGTTTCCCTCCAGATTTATCTAACAGCCAGTTTAGTCCTCACTGCTTACTGCAGGCTCAGCATGTGCTGGGAGGTTGAGGCTCCCCGTTCCCCACCTGGGATTGTCTGGCTTCTACCTCTTCCTTCTCCAGCAGCTTCCTCTGCTCTGTCTATAGCATCTATATCTATCTAGATTTCACCATGTATCTGTATCTCCATACCTATCTCAATCCTTTCTTGGATGTCTAAAGTACTATGATGACAGGGGCAGCAGAGATCAACATCAGACAGGAAGATTATCTTCTCGGAGTGCTCACTGTGGTTCCCTCCAATCATCTACAGTGACCCTTCCTCACTGGAGAGCTGAGAAAGTCACCCTCAGAACCGGAGGAGACTGGAGGGTAGCACACAGGATCCAGAATAACCACACCTCCCCTCCTTTACCTTGATATTAAAGAGAACAAATTGTAGAGAACCAAGTGCCAGCAGTGGAAAAGTAGGGTCCAGGGCCAGGGCTGCAGCTTCTTTCCAGGTTCACTGGCTCTGTCCACAGAGAGGTGCAGTCCTCTGAATCCAGCCAGGAGAAGGGATTTGTTGAGTGGAGGCCTCCGGAGGTTCCTGGCTGGCTGCTCAGAGACCTGAGCCGCTCCAGGACACACTGAGCTCCAGGGCTGAGACTGTAGAGAAGAGCGGTCCAGAGGGATTTGGGTTTCTTCTAGTTTACTGTCTGGAATCCTCTTCCCCTGGGGTCTGTTTGGATGAGAAAAAGGGAAAATCCTGAAAAAGAAAAAGATGTAGTCTGTGGCCACGCCATGCTGCCCTCCTGGGTTCCTGAGCCCAGTTGTGTTCAGGAGCAGCGTGATGCCACCCTCGGGGAATTCTGTCCGAGTCTGTCATGAATCCCTCTGTCAGTGCTAACCAGACCCAGGCTTTCTTAGTTCCAAAGGATGCTGCGTGACATAAGTGCAGATAACTTTATTGGCAAGTTACACAGGAAGTCTTATACTTTGAGCACAGACAAATCACCACATCAGAAGGCTGAGAAGCTCTTTAGCTGTCCAGTTATTTACTTTGTAGTCTGACGGGAAAATTTATGTAAGTATTGTGTTTTGCAATACATTTTCTGAAGTGTAGTTTTTCCTCACGCAGAACCCTCACTCTCTTCCAGTCTCCACTGTTGCTGTCATCTCCACCCTTACTGACCATGAAATGGACTGGCTTGGTGTTGAACATATTGTGTCCCACGGTGGCTTCTCCACGCCCTGGGGAGCTGGAGCTGTACGAGCCCATCTTGGAGAGACAGCCCTCAGATCACAACGGCTCTGCCGCAGTGGTGCAGGCCAGCGTGATAGTTTCTCCACCAGCCTCTCACTCTGTCCAGCCTGCTGGATGCACTGTGACACTACCGTGACTTGGGAAAGAGGCCGCACTCTGCCGAGTCTAGAGGTCCGCATCGCCTTCCCGACATCCTCTGGACCAGGCTCATGGGGTGGGGAGGAGCTGAGATTCCAAAGTCAGCTGGAGAGGGGTCTGGGCCCCTGGGAGATCAGTGTGACAGTTGTGGGAAAAAAAGTGTGGGAAGCAGAGCAGAGGACACAGGGAGGTTGGCCGAGAAGGACAAGAAATAAGGATGAAGTCTCCTTAAAAAGTGTCATCTCCATCCAAGT